CTCTGAACCCCATTACCAGAAAAGTAGACAATAATTGCCCCTGGATACAGAAAGGGGGCTTACATGGAATATGTTTGAGGAAGTCTCCGTGAGATGGTTGAAATGTTCTAGTGTCTGAACAGGCTCCACTCTTGTGGCATTTCACAGCTCATAAATGGTCTTCGAAAAATTCTTGAACCTCATCATATTCACACTACGTTAGGAAACAACAACACAAAAGTAAGAGTGGGCCTCTTGCTCTCCTTTGCATTGACAACAGGGAGTCAGGGATGGAGATCACTTCATCCTACACTAATTCATGCTCCATAATGAGTTGAACTCCCTAGAGATGTGCAGTATTTTTGTTCATGTCCTAAAAATATTAGACCTATGTGTTTCCAAACATTACCATTTGCTAAGTTTTACTTACAGTTTTCCACTGAGTGTTCTTCCTTGAAATATAATTTTCTTGAAAATAACTGTAATTTTAATATAATTTGAAGGGTAAATACAGCTGTATATCTTCATACAGTTGAGTAGTTCATGACCTTCAACATGTATTACTGGCATAAAGATATCTGTTACGCAAATATCATGCATAATTTGAATACCCTCATTTCTTCATTCAATAAAAATTACTAGTTTCATTTAGGTAAGTCCTCTCAATTCCTAAAAAGTAGGTGTGGTGTGAATATTTATATAATCTGTGTTATAGTGATATTCAAAGTGCCTGAAGATCAATGGTTGTATTTGAAAAATCCAAACCTTGTTTCTTACATATTTTAAGAAAACCCTGCACTGTGGAAGAAGAAGCGGTGGTTATTAGGAGGAAGAGGGAACCAGTAGAGGGGTGGTGAGAGGTGGAGATTTGGAAGGGTGAATAAAAACACATCTCTGAAGATACAAAACTGTCCAAGAGAAGACCCCCCCTTTGAATGCCACCTCAAAATGTTAATGTAAGATGGCGTAAAGAAAAAAGAAATGCATGAACTCTAACATGATACTCCTCCAGACGTTTAAGCAAGAGATATTTGTCTTATTTCGGTGTAGGTTTTTCAGCTATAACACATTTTTAAGATGGTTACTGTGCGATAAGAGGGGTACCCCTGGAGATATTTATGATGAAGCGGCTGCACCTCTCACAGGTGTTTGTGGGGGGGACCCACAAACGTGAGCCTGTTCCACTTGGACCAGAAGTCAGAACGTTTAAGCTTAGTTTTGCTGTTTCAAAGTTGTTGACAAGAGATATGGCTACACACCCTTACCTAGGGTGTTATTACTTGGTGTTTTGGACATTAAGATAGCCCATAGAAGTGGATCCACTCCACCTTGACCAAAAGTCAGAGAATTCAAGGCTACTCCTGCTCCTTTATTTAAAATAGGAGTTTCGACCTAGGGAGTGTCTACCTGCCTACAGGATACTTGCTCCAGGGGGTGTTAGCTACATATCCTTCCTAAAGCATCAAATGATTTACTCAGGAAATAATGGCTCGATGTCTCAAGTACTGAAACAAGTAACTTTTCTGGTTGTCCTTTGTGTCATGTTAAAGCAGTCTTTTGCCTCTCCTCCCCCAACCTTTGTATTGTGGTATAAAAGTGTATGAAGAATAAATGCGGGCAAATTCAGGATTCAGTAGTCACTGAGTTGCCCTCCCAGAACCTGTGTCTCTGTATTTCTTTCATATCTCCGTTCCTCCTACCTAACGTTTCTAATCCATATATGTCCCTATCCTGGAATGTACGACCCCACTGTGGTTGGACCACAGCAGAAGTCACCCCCAAAAGGTAACTTACAACATGTTTGTAGCTCTCTTGTGTTTGTAGCAATCCATAAACATCATTACACTCTCAGTTAACTTAGTGCCCCGTGGCCACACATTCTGTCATGTAACTGACAACTCCTAAACTTGCTCTTAGATGAATGAAATTGACCATACCTAAAACTGCCAACTATTCCTGAAAATGATTAGTTGATGATTAAAGTGGACATTCCTGTTCTAAATACAGTGACTTCCATTTCACCGAAGAATAAAATCCCTGCTGGAGACTTAAATGAAGGTGTTGTAAATTTGCAATGTTCCCATCGTCACAGACACTGTAGATCTAAGCACACAAAATAAACAATTTGTTAAAGTCAGTGTTTCACTTTCTCAGTTCCACACATGAATCCACAGAACGTTTGCTCCCTTCCCAGAATAAATGATCTCCTTCTACTCCCCACTCCACCCTCAGCTTTTTCTTTGTTCCTACAGCTGAAGTCAAAAGTTTCTCACTTTTGACTGGCACTAACTATTGCAACTTCTAAAGCCATCTAGTTTTGCATTTTGATTCTCTAACATCACAAAGATTTCGTATCTCCTGCAATTATATGACACAAAATGAAATTCATATAGATGCAATAATTTGACATTAAAGAAAAGAGTAGTTGGCATTATCTTCGATCAATTGATGAATTCTTCTGATAACCGGTTCTGTTCATATGTCTAGTTTCCTTTTTAGGTGCAGTCAGTATCTAAACTGCTATGTGCTGGTGTTTTTCAGACAGAAAGGTAGGCCACAGCTAAAGAAAGGCATGGATAGCTTTCCATTTCTTGTAGAGAGGGAAGCAGAGTGTGAGTATGTATTCTGTTTTCCAAAGTCATCCAAGGTGGATGTTAATAAACCTGCATAGGCTTTTTTTTTTTTTTTTTTTTTTTTTCCTTTTTTTTTTACCTGTGCAGGTGAAGCTGTCCCTGTTGCGCATTGGACACGGAAAAGAATCCCACACAAAATCCATGGATGGCCATACAGTGAAAATCTCTAAACTGCTATGTGCTGGTGTTTTTCAGACAGAAAGGTAGGCCACAGCTAAAGAAAGGCATGGATAGCTTTCCATTTCTTGTAGAGAGGGAAGCAGAGTGTGAGTATGTATTCTGTTTTCCAAAGTCATCCAAGGTGGATGTTAATAAACCTGCATAGGCTTTTTTTTTTTTTTTTTTTTTTTTTTCCAGGAAGCAAACCTGCTTTTCACTGTTGCAGAGAGCCATCTTGTGGACACGGAAAGCTTCTCCAGCTACTCAGTGCTGCCGCTTGTTTGTGGGTGGGAGCAGGATTAAGGCTGAGAGCAAGCAGGCCTCCGGATGCCTGGATACCCCTCATCCAGAACAAGCTAACCTCTACCACTCCTCTAGTTACTATGTTCCCTCCAATTACAGGGCATGCATTGTGTTTGCCTGTGACAGGAGACAGCTGGCCTTTCCTGAGTCTCATTACCATAATCAAACGAAGCATGCAATTTCTTAAGAATTCAGGTTTGATTCAACAGCACGTTCATCTTAGGATGTTAAGAAAAGACCATATTTTCAGATAGTTCAAAAAGCTTTTTGAAAGGAACCATTGATTATTTCTGTGTTGGAACTTTACTTGAGTTGAGTAAATAAAGGTTTTAAAATGAGCATTCTATTTGTGTTGGGAGTTTGGGGAAAAATATTTAAAACACAAGAACCTTGTGTGCTAAGTAGTTTGAACTAAGGACAGCAGAATGATCACCTTCTGGCATGCTGCTTATGCGAGGCCTTCCGCATGGTTCTGTGAGAAGCTCTCCACTGAGCTGAGCTCTTGGCTTCCGGGTGTGACCTTTACTCTGGTACCACTGTTCCATCGCTTCGCTAATTCACCCCAAGGCTGGTTGCCTCTGCCTTGCGCTGGAAACCCCCACCTGCCCATCCTTGGGGCATGCTTTGGTTTTGACTTTCTATTTGTTCAGTTTTAGTTTGTTTGTGCAAGCAGCAAGTAGGGCAATATTCCCATAAACTCAATCTTCCGGAGGCCTCAAATTTAAAACTCTAATTGCAAAATATATGCATGTGTAAATTTGTATAAATAAATATATATTTACAGTTAAATGTTATTTGGTCATTGAAATCTCAACTAACTTTAATTTTGAGTGACTTATGGTTTTCTGAGAGTAACTTTAAACTTCTTAGAACTAAATATAAAGTTCTTAACTTTATTCCAAAACAATTTGAAACTTTAAATTTTTCATTCTTCCTATTTCTGTCTCTACATCTTTGTATAGATACACACACATGCACAGAGCTCACCTGTTCTTCTTAGGAATTTTAATTTCATTTAATTGCCTGTTAGAATTGTGGACTTTCTTCTTTTGTTATATGTAAAAGACTATAACTTTAATGAATATCTAGTATCTGTGAAGCCTGGGACTAAGCAAAGCGACGACACTTTCATTTATGCCAGCACTTGGTCACAATTATATATTAAATACCTAGAACATCAACATGCGTGGGACATTTAATACATTAAATGCCTTAAGAGTATCTTTAAATATTCTGTACAGTGTGTGAAATTTTGTTTTCCACCTTATAAACATAATGGTAAAAATGAAAGTTTGTATCAGGGTTACGGGTTCTCAGATTTGAAATTCCGCGTGGCATTGAAAGAGATAACAGCCAGCGGGGTATGCAGTTCCATCGGAAGCCATCTTCATAAGCCAGCAGAGGGAGAGTACTAATTCACAGCTTACGGATAAATGGCTTTATTTTCTTGCCCTTGGCATCTTGAGAACTCAATATTCATTCTTCATAAAGACTGCACTTCAGTTCAGCACGCTTATTCAGCGTTTGCCCCGTCATCAGGAACTCAAATTCTTTTATTGTACTCCATTCTTTCCTTAAATTTTACTTGTACTTTGGCCCAGGAGAAAGTACAGATCTATCATGATATATAATAAAACCTTTCTGAGTCTTTTAAAATTTAATTTTTTTACCTTGAATCTCAAAAGCTAAATTATAACAGTAATAATTCCTGCTACACCCTGCTCTTTCAACTAGTAATACGGAAGACAACATTTGAAATTAATCTGTCGACAGACTGCGCAACAGAAAGAGAGAAATGGAAATTCCTTATGGATTTCTAATTGCATTGAAGAAGTAGTGCTTTTGAATAAAGCGAGAATTTTTACAACTGTATAGAGCAAACATCGTGTTGAAAACTTCTTTATATTATCTCATAGAGCACCGTACCTTCGTGTTTTCACCGTCTTTTCTTCCTTTGCCGTCAGCAATGCTGAGAGTGAGCGAGCAGCCGGCGGCTCTGGCTGTGTGTAATCATTTACTAGGCCTCAGTGAAGTTTGTTCGTTGTCCTTTCAGCTTATCAGCTGCTGCGCAAATAAAACGGAGTGTTCCCGTGACTTGCTTGAGCACCTTAAGTGACTGGCACGACAACCCTCAAAATCACGTTATCTTTTACGTTAGCATCCATTTTGCCACAGCTCGGCAACCCCGATGGTTGTAACAGGGACCTGGGTGTTTAAACTTTCTTTCTTCACCAACTCCCAAGAAGTGGTCTGAAAGTTCCAGGAAAACAAGAGGATTGCTCTCCCTTCTCTAAGGCTGTTAGTCTTTGAGAAGCTTACATGTCTGTTATCACTGCGGCTCTAGATGCCACACGGTCTATAATTTCTCTGTAAGACTACTGACTTCTTTCTTCTCTCCGGGCTTAGAGCTCCATTCTGCTCCCCTGAAAACTCTCTGAGGGCAGCATCTTTTTTTTTCTCATATTCTTAAAATGAAGAGATTTTGCATGGCTTATTACGATGTAACATATTAGAAATTAAAAGAGAAAAACGTGTATTCATCAGCTAGACTTCAATATCAGCGTGCAAGACAACATAGTGAAATAACTAATCATTTTAAAGAAAAAAGTGCTATATAGATGCCATAACAAACAAAGGGGAATACCGGCATTCATCTTTACTCTTCATGAGACTTATTAATAGATGAATTCTAATGGCTGTTTCAAACTTATTTTGTTGTAAAGTGTGATATACTTTTATGCTCAGTCTGTCTTCATGATCTGTTTGGAAAGGGATTACTATTTTATGAGATTTGGGTCCCATGGATATTGCTATTTAATATTATAGCAAAAGTCATCAAGTAGTAATTGCTTAAATATTAGTTGCACCATGGAAACAGTAATCCAATTAATAAATGATTTATGTAGAATTAAATTAAAATTCACTAATTGATTTTGCAGCATTATTTATTTCTATGACTTGGGAATATGGGACTTTATTTGAAAAAAATTTAGATTTACTGAGTTACATCACGTTCTAATTATCAATTCATTGCCACTTTGCAATAGCGAAATTAGTCACTAGTCACACTTGTTAACTTCACTGGTGACCCACATCTTCTAGCACTCAGAATATACGGAGGTCAGAGTGCTAGATACAAGATTTATGAAATTTGGTCTTTCACTCCAAAGGTTGAGTTTTGTTGGCAGGAAGTTTACCAGCTGACTTTTTCAGTTCTGTGTATTCTAACATCCAACACTAAGCCTGTCCAGCCAGTTCATAAGTGACAATGGTGACTGACACATGGTGTCCTTGAGGCTAAAGAGATGGCTCAGCAGTCAAAAGCACTTGCTGCTTTGGGAGAGGACCCAGACTTTGTCCTCAGCACCTACTCCATGCAGCTCACAACAGTCTATATCTCCAGGGGATTTGACGTCTTTTCTGGACACCGCACCCACCAGCATGCGCAAGTTTACTTACTTATACTCAGTGACACACATATACACATGAAACAAACAATACATTCTTTTAAAGGAAAAAAATGAAGAAAGTGTCCTTTCACTCTAAGGAGGGTTGATTCAGATCTCTAGTCAAACTGTCTTGTGTTTGCATTTTCTGGAGATATGGTTGTCACTTCAAAGAAAATTGGGCTTTATATTTGTATGTTGTGTATGTCAGGTAATAACACAGACCGCTAAAGCTAGCATTCACTGGCTGGAGCGCTATTAGTATCGGATAAAATAAACAATGTATGTGGTTCTGGGAATCACATCTGGGGCTTTATTTATGCTAGGCAAGCACTTTACTAACGCACATGGGGTGTTTGTATGAGGTTTTGCTGCCTGTTCTTGCAGCTGCCTGTCGGGCTCAGAGGCATCAGATCTTCCAGGAGCTAGAGTTACAAGTGTACAAGAAACCCCTGATGTGAGTGCTGGGAATTTAACTTGGGTCCTCTGCAAAAGCAATACACACTTGTAACATCTCTGCAACCTGTTTATCAGTTTTAGAAATATGTTTAATTTTTGTAAGGAGCATTGGCTCCCACACTGAATCTCATGCCTCATGAAAACACACTACTTTAATCCATGTCTGTAAGTACTGCTGATATTCTTGTTCACATCCACAAGTAAACCTTCCTGTACATAGTCTTTATCCTCTACACGTCAACCTAATGATGAGTGCTGTTATATCTTGGGTCTGAAATATTTCCTAATACCCATGTGTTAAAGGCCTGTTGGTTTAATGCTGTGGGCCGGTGGTTAACATGCTAAGAGTTTATGGTATGTAGGGTTAGTGGGAAGAAATGAGCATATTGCTGGTATCACTTCGACAAGATTGTTGTGATGCCAGGCACTTCTGCTCTGACTTTACTTTCCAACCAGCTTTCTTTGTCACACAACCACTCCATTCTGTTCTGTTTCACTGATATTCAGAGGCATAGAGCTAACTGCCATGAATGCAGACCACGAGCTAAAACTAAGCTCGCCTTCCTTTTTTTTTTAATTTTTTAATTTTTTTATTTTTTTTAAATATAATTTTTT